TTATGTAAAGTTTGCTGCCGCCGTTTTGGTTGTCATTCTCTAAATATTCTTAACAAAATTAAGCCAAAAATTTGTACTAAGAACATAGAAACAATGATCAATATAATATTTTTTTAAATCTAATATTATAAAGTTCTCGTGTCACGGTGTACGTAATTGAACTCCTCCGAAACGGCACGACCGATTTTCGTGAAATTTTATATGCATATTCAGTAGGTCTGAGAATCGGACATCTACTTTTCATCACCCTAAATGTTAAGGGTGGTCCACAATTATTTTATTTTGGAAAAAAAAAGTTTTAATTTTTTTATGATACATCATACAAAAATACATACAATCCTAAATTTTCACCCTTGTACCACCCATATATTTAGGGCGATACGAAGTTCGCTGGCTCAGCTAGTAATATATAATTTTATTTGAATATTAATTGACATTTTTATAAACATTGAGATTGATTTATCCAGTAGAAAGCAACGATAAATCTTTGGTACAAAGTCTTAAGCTGGACATTAGTAATTTTTCATTTTGAATTATCGTTAGCACCCACTAATTTGCACTGGGTCCGCGTGATGGGTCATAGTCCCGTTTTTCTTATACCGTCCATAAGAAAGGCTTGTGCAACTATTTTGATTTTGTGTACTGGGGCTTTACTGGGGCTGATGATGATAATGTCATCATATGTGACAGATTTCGATACGGGCAAATAAGTCGAAGAGGATTATATAACAAGTCATGATATTTTGAAGATATCAATGATGATATGAACATTGAATGTTATCCTGTTTCTGTGCTTAAAATCGTTTTTCTATTCCAATCAACATTGATTCCAATCTTCATTTCACTTAACCTTTTATATAATAATCTTATGGCATATTTTATGTATCCTTCTTTTTTTTTACCGATTGTTCTATATACGAACAAAGTAGGTTAGGTTGGATAAAAAAGTGGTTATTTGATGCCACTAGTTTAGGTTAGAAACATAAAAAAAAATATGCGAAAAGAAAGATAGGATTCCGCTACCGTAATAATAAAAATTTTAAGAGAATTAATTATAATGATAAAATCACAGAAAATTCTGTACTCACATAAATAATGGTTGGTAAATGTAAGTATAAGAATCAAAGGAAACCTTGAATAATAGGATCTTTACGCCAAGTACATTTGGAGGTTGCAAAACATTGTAGGTCTGACAAATTAACAAACAACAGCATAAAATATTACTTTAGTACCGCAAAAAAGTTAGTGATGCGTTGAACACGAGTTTTAAAAATAACTCTTACAAAATTTGGTTAAAAACCACGTCTAACTTTTTGTAGCTTAGCTTAGTGTTTTGCTTACTTCATGACGCCAATATAACATCGTATAGTTCAGATCGATTTTCGTAATCAATCTGAATAATCAATAGTAGCTGACAACATGGTGACACTGACTAAGGTTTAGGGGTCTTCTCTTTAATTTATCCTTTTTGTCATTCTTATGCCCGGAACGGGCACATAGAGCAATACGGAACATCGTGTTAGAGTTGCTCTAACCTGTTTAAAGAATGGTAGCGGAAGCTGCCGCTATAATTTTATACATCAATTTCAATTGACGGCCTCCGTGGCCGAGTGGTTTGTACGCCGGGTTTCATGGTGTCGCCGACTCGAGAGGTCCCGGGTTCGAATCCTGGTGGGGGCAGATGTTTGTGTGATGAATATATTTATACATGCATTTGTACTCCAGTCATGGATGTTGAATTTGTATTTCTATATGAATATACTTATACATGTATAGTATATGCATTCTAACCGTTACCCTAGCATCCCATAACACAAGCCTTACTTTGGGGCTAGGCTGGTGTGAGTGTTGGAAATATTTATATAAAATTCTGTGGTGAATAGATATGCATATAACGATCTCACATAAGATGGTGTATCTCCTAATACTAGTAATAATTTTATACATATAAGTATGTAATAAAAAATATAAAAAGCGTATCCTTCATAGTTCTTTTGCAGCACTGTGTTAAATCATGTGTGAACCTCTCGTGTGATAGGCGCATTTATTTTATTAACCTAGCATGATGCTAGTCTGATCTAATTTGACTCGTGTATATATCAGCGATGCCTCAAATTAACTTAAAATTATTGTTTACTTTAAAAAACTGCACGGTCTACTATCAAATAATGAATTAGAAATACTTTTATCGTTGGTTGCCGCTTAGCTACGCGTTTTGTAGCTATTTCTAATACCGGATTTTGGTCATGTCAATAAATTTTTGTCGCAGCTGTTATCTGGGGTTAATCTTATATTATTTATACTCGTGGATACTGAATCCAATGCGTCCGCTTGTTTATAGAACGCAGTCGAATCAAAAGTTATAGGCTGGCTAAATTTATTGGAGAAGATTTTTTTCATGGTTTTTTGAGACATATATTTATGTTTACATCTTTACGGCATACATAAGTTCACTATGATTGACACACTTGTAAATAAGTAAGAGGCAATAACCGTGGCAATACTAAGCATGATCACATATAATAATTTCATGTATTCAGTTAAGAATTGGTATCTACCTTTGTTAAATCAATGGCTATAGAATGAGGCCTAAATATTATGATTCAATTTAAATTTCTTTTATGTACGAGTAGTTAGTTGCTAGGGGGTCTTAAATAGTGACAATAACATAATATTATACGAAAGAAAGAATTAGCTAGAGCATCTGCTTGGATGATGTATGGAAGTTGTTAGTTATGATGCGATCCTGCCCAGGGTAAATGATAAAACTAAATAAGTATAGAGGCATCCGAAAGGTTTGTGTTTATTAAGGTGGTGCAGGACAGTATAAAAATATTAGAAAAAAAAATAAGATCTATATTTTAGAGCCATTGCAACTATACTTGCTTACTTACTTAGGTAGGGGGCGTTAAGGTCCCAGAAAAAAGTCGGCTGTTGAAATAGGTAGCTTAGGGAGGCTATAGCAGTACCCTTAGTACGGGCCAATATCGAATTCGAATAGTTTGCGAGTGTGATATGTCATTGTCAAATTTTGTATGGAAACTTGAACAGCTGCGCCAAAACGGGCGTACGAGAACTAAAAATCAGTATACATTTGAAAATGACATTTTGCACTCGCAAACTATTCGAATTCGATTATATAATATTGGTTCGTACTAAAGGTGCGATTGTACGATGGGATTTTGATTTTCTTGCAATATTTTGAATTGTTAAAAAAATACAGTGGCAATAATGATTGTTAGTTTGTTTGTGCACTGTTATATAGTTTCGTTGCGTCCGCGACAATAATGTAATTGTCAAAGTTTGCGGAAGAGAAAATAAGTGTTTAAGACACTGTTTTCTGGGAAATTAATAATTTAAACAGAAAATGATTTGTTATTTCCTGCTTTTGACGTCGACAGCAAATAAATTATCTTCTTTCAAACGCTGGAGTTTTCCGCGAGCGCGTGCGCCTAAAATAGACGGTTGTCACAACAACCACGTAATATTGGAAAAAACTTTAACAGTAAATAACTAATGGCGACCTTGCTTTGCTCAGAATTTTCTGAAGTGAAATTGCATTTTTGGCTATATGCTTTTGGCTTCGGCATCGATTGTAGATCAAACCCCAAGTATTCTTTTAAAAAAAAATCAATGTACAATTTTGACTTTCCTACCACTTTATTATATGTATAGATACTCAGGTCTACTGTCCCTTGGAGCTGTGAAAAAATTAAACTTCTAAGCCAACGAAATTAAAAGATACAGCCGTTTACGACGCATATTTTCGAAACTCGCAAGGGAATCAAAATCTAACTATCTCATGAACTAAGAAATCTTGAAATTTGGTACAAATCAACGTCTTATAGCACAGATAAAGGAAACAATGCGAAATCCTTAAATGTGTAAATAACATCACATATTTTTTTAATAATTATTATATACCCACAGGTTTGTACAGAACCGACCGAATCGGTGCGCGAGTCCGACTCGCACTTGGCCGGTTTTTTTTGAACCCGTTTAATCTTTCAATAATTAAATTAGGTATTTGTAGAGCAATAATAAGTAAACATTTTGTAATTTGTTAATAATATATGAAATGAAATAACAAATTGTTAAAATGTAGGACATTAATGTATATGAAGTATTGAACCCATTAACGTATAAATTTAACCTCTAAATTTCATTAAAAAATCTAAGTATGAAGGTAATCACTAGAATGATAGCAAATAATAACATCGAAAACAAAGCTTTTTTATTTATTTAGTATCTAAATCTAAGTAACTTTGTTATTCTTTAATAGTAAACCTAAAACTTAATCAATTCACAGATTTAATCCAGTAAACTATTCGGAAACTGTCGTTGCGACATTAGAATCCAATAGAGATATAAAAGCTTTAAAACATACACTGATTACCCATTTCTATAAAAAATGGCCAATTCTGAAATGGATTCGCAAACAAAGGGTTCCGTACAATTATTATAGTACAATTATTAAAACTAGATCAAGCAATACATGTCGAAAGAATCACATTTCATTAATGGACCCCTCTAAATTTTATCTTATTTTTCTAACTATCTTGCGCCCTTGACTTCTTCCGCGTTAAAGTTAGTTTTTTAAAATTTCTCAGAAACCCTAAACTTTTTCCAGGTAAATAGTATCCTATATGTCAATTTAGGTGATAAACTATATAAATGCCAAATTTTATCCAAATCCATTAAGCCATTTTTGCGTGAAAGAATAACAAACATTCGTACAAACTTAATCTTATTGGGATAGGATTGAGTTTGATAGCGGCCTCTGTAAAAACTTTCAGATGTCTACCTATTCCCGTTCAAGAAATGAATCCCTGTGCCAGTAATATTCGGAAGGCATATTAGCAAAGTTTCGTTTACGGAACTCTAAAAATGATCGGTTATGTTTACATCGGGAGTGCGTAAGAAATAAAATAAATTGTGCGCGCCGCCCGCCCCCGCCGCGTGCTCTCTAGGCGGGCGGCTAATGCACAGCAGTCTTTGAACCATCCCCGTGGAAGAAGCTCGTACCTACTAATATTAACTTTAAGTTTTCTTAAAACAGTTCTGTGATAAACACCACTCGCAATGGCTGTACGTAAGAAATGTTAAACTTCAATTTTTTCTAGTATCTGATTTTCCTTTTTTTTAAATCATTAATTTACTTCCTATTTGTCTAAAAGTCAATTTGTTTCTTTGATTAACTGAGCTTTGTATCTTTTATTGTTTTTTTATAAAAAAATATCAATTGTTTGCTATTTGTCTTGAACATAAAATTTTTCATTGTCTATTCAGTATATTGTACTTTCACTTTCTGATATTTGTTTAGGGAAAACATTGTTTATACGAATCGATACGTCACAGTGACTATTGACGTCAGATATTGCTCTGGTTCAAATTAACGACTCTTGCGCAGCTGCCCCTCGTTACGAATGATATCTGTTCCATTTCGCTTCGTGTACACAAGCCGTTTCTTATTAGTTATATTCGTATTTTTAGTAAAGCCTCTTTGATGGACAGCAGCAGCTTGTGTTACTAATTGGAAAGTATTTTGATTTCACTCAAGTTTGTTAGTATTCTTAATCTGAATCAAACCTTGAACGAACCAGATCTTCTAGGACTTTTTACTAATCAAAGGCGAAATGCATACAATAGTTTTAAATCTCGCATGTCTAACAAATAGTCGACAAAACATCAGGATAGTGAGAATATGAGCTACATTAATACAATAAACTGAAATCCCATTCCTATACTTTTTTTGTAAGACGCAACAAATTTCCACATTCCACCCAATATCTTTATATAGATGATATATTTCCATCGCTTTGGTTATAATAAATTGTGATAATCTAACGATACACTTTCTTAAAGCTGTTGTAGATGTTCTCTGCTTTTGTTTTTAATAACATTGTTTCATAATAACAACATGTCCGTTTGCTGTGATTTGTAAATCATTTTAATTTCAAGACAAAGTACTGTAGCAACCGTAACCGTAATACCAAATGTTTTGTTTATATCCATCGTAAGCCGGGTCGGTTATGAAATCCGTATTTCCAGAAAGAGCGTCAGATAGCTGTCATTATGTTCGCGTATCGCGTTATTTTGGGAGATGATGCTGGAGTTAACCACCATCCAACGACTTGGCACTGGAGCGGACTGCTTTATGGCCCTCGTTCAAAACGTTGCATACACTCTCACTAATTCTCGCTCAGACGAAAAGAATGCTGCTGATCCATCCGCCTATCGTACAGAAGATTTAAATAGAATGAGTTTACGTAAACCGATACTGATTTGACATTGAAAACTAATCTAAACAATCTATGTACTTACTTGTGAAATTTAGATTGTATAAGTGAAGTTTGAAGTCATATTAAATGACATGATGTTTATTAAAGTACTGCATATTATGTGAACTATTTGGCAAATAAAGCGATTCAAAATAGTCCATTTAGGAATACTAAAATTCACAATTTTGTCTTCTGAAAAAACGGTCTAGAAGCACTATCTAATGAGCTTAGGAAAAGGTTTATCAATTTGCATAAATTTTGACGGAGATCAATTGTACTGACTGGTTGATAGTTAAAATTCAACATCACTAAAATTGCTCAATATAACACATGTCACTATCTGAGTGAATTTACAATAACGAATTTAGATATCAAAATAAGTAATAGAAGTTTAATGTCTCAATACAAAATTTATGATTTTGACTTTTATTTTTAGCCCAGAAACAAGGAACAGGAACAGGAAGTGCTCAACTGGATTGCAGCCGTCATAGGAGAACCTGTTACGAATGCCTCTTACGAAGATTATCTGAAGGACGGCGTAGTCCTCTGCAAGCTTATCAATAAGCTGTCACCTGGATCGGTGAAGAAGATCCAAGAGAGAGGAACAAACTTCCAGCTGATGGAGAACATTCAGAGGTGATTTTAAAAACTCTTTCAAATATTTTAAATATCGCAACATATTTATCATGTCAACTTAAATAAAATTTAGAATTTGGCAGGCAAAATAATTATGATCTCATCAACACACAATTTTCGTTTTAGTTAAATGAAAATGTACGAATATAATGTTACGTTACTATTATTGGTGTGAAATGTTATTGTATTTCTTTTAATATAAATGTAAATTTTATGTATTTCAGGTTCCAAGCAGGAATCAAGAAATACGGTGTCCCCGAAGAAGAAATCTTCCAGACTGCCGATCTTTTTGAGAGACGTAACATTCCTCAAGTCACCCTTTGCCTTTACGCTCTCGGAAGAATTGTAAGCACTTTTAATCTGAATATCTTATATGATTGTAGAATACTCAATGTATTGATTTTTTAAGGAATTCTTCATACAAATAATACCGAATAAACTTTTTGTTAACTACTCTTTTATGAAATTTTCAAAAATAGGAAAGTTTGTAAGAAATTAACATTTCGACACGTAATTTTACAGACTCAGAAGCACCCTGAATGGACTGGCCCACAGCTCGGCCCCAAGATGGCGGACAAGAACGAACGTACCTTCACCGAAGAACAGCTTAGGGCACACAATGCCGAGCTTAACCTTCAGATGGGCTTCAACAAAGGAGCTTCACAGTCTGGCCACGGTGGATTCGGCAACACACGCCACATGTAATCATCGAACAACTTACTCAAGCGTACTTATGCTTGCCTGGTGTCTGAGACCAAATCCGATGCACACGGATAAAATCAGTATTCAAAAGAACTCTTTCAATTATGTCCGTCTGTCAGATCCAAGGTGTTCATGGATACCCTTCTAAAGTTACTGTTGCTCTTATACTAAAATTAAAGATTCATAACGAAGCCAATTAGCATCCAAATCTAACAAATTCTATTTTTGTTACTTAAGACTTTTTTTGTACTTATTAGTATTGTGTAAATATTTAACATTATCTTATTTTATTTTTTAATAAACTTCGATTGTAAGGCATACATGTTGTTTGGATTTTGTACGGATTAAATGTTGTAACTACAATCACTTTCATCATAGAAACTCATGTGGTGGATCCAATCGCAAGGATGAAGGTCGCACGATTGCAAACTTCTTGCAAAATATTAGGTTGTCCATAATGAGTAGGTATGATGAACTGTGTTTTAAAACCAATCTCTGAACATAATGACTGGAGTGGATATTTTTAGTGAACTGTAATGGAGACTACCCCTTGGCCTAATTAACTTGTGAGTGAACATCAAGATGATTTATATGTGCAGTTCTTTAATAAGTGCATCTTTGCCAAGATGCACTTATTAAACAACTCGGTGAGCACATTAAATTTAAATAGATCAAAGCACTACAGGAGAGGATAAATTATGAATAATATAATCACTATTGAATATGCAGAATGATTTAGATTGTTTTGGATTTTCCTATTCCAACTGAGCATTCACACTATAATAACAGACCAAAAGAAGTTGTTTCAGTAAAGAATATTATTGCTTTTGTTTATGCGACCTTTATTAGTGAATGCATTAATTATATATTTTTTATAGGAAGATGGAACTACATAGATAGTATTATTGGGATTATTTCATAATATTGATATCAAGTCTTATGGTAGATTTCACTAAACACATACGACCTCGATATGTGTGGTTGAGATTTTGCTATGAGTCAATGCGCAAGAATCACAAGAATAAAGTTAAATTTCATAAATCACTTCGTTAACAAAATTTTACACACGAATTGAGTGTCGATTAGATTTTGTTTTTCATCTCATAACGTTTTGAAAGTGTCTCATGGAATTATTGTTATTTAAGTTAAATAAATACTATATGAAATTGAGCCTAATTTCAAATATCTCTAAATTTTAAACTAAATTTGACACACTTTCCTTTTGATTATTATTTATAGAATATAATAGGGATAGACTTCTGTCTAATTAAGTTTTAGATATTGGGGATCATGTCAGAATCAGGACCATTTACATTAGTTTTAGATGCCGATATTAATATAAATTAAAGGCAATATGGTAATTGTGCTATTAAATCAAATCACAAATTCATTCTTGCGGTAGACAACATCGACAGTATTAATTTAATTTAACTACATATTAAAATTATCATAAACATGATGTTTGCTAACGATATTCCTATAGAACAAAACTTATGGATCTAGTATGATTTTAATCACTTCGACATAAAAATGTCTTTGACAATATTTATAATAGTGTCCGTGACACGCTTTCTTAGAGGTCCATCAGACACAAATACGCTATTGTAACATACAAAGAGTTCGTTCAACCAATTCATTCAACAGCGTTGGGCTCGTTTCGTTCCCTGATAGTTCACAACAGCCGAGCAATATAGTTTAATGTCAACAGAAATAGAATGCAGTCTCGCTACACTCAGAAATTTATAATCGTAAATCTTGAAATAAACTACCTATGTGGAAGTCACCCGTTTGATAAACAGCTACAACAACGTATTTCATAAGAACATTGAAGCGGTCGTAATCCAATGTTTGGAGGCGCTGGTGTGGAGGCAAACGAGAAGAGTTCGAATCACGAAAATTTACATAATACCGATGAAGAACTATTGAAAGCACAAGCACACGACTCCGAATAAAATATAAGAAAAGGTATTTTTCTATCAAATAAAATGAAAATGAATGAAAAAATCACAAATACTTACGACAGTGGACACGTTCTAAAATATGATGAAGAAAAATTTACGGTAGGAGAAAGTATTAAAAAGGTATTTAAGATAAGTTTTGGACATTTCTAAAAAATATTATTGTAAATAATATTTTTAATATACCAGTTACCAATTAAAATAAGCAAATGCAACATGTGTGATGAGATCACTCAATAATATTCAGGATAGAGCCTAGTGTGAAAGATTTGTAGACATAAGTATTCATTATTTATTTAATTTTAATTATATGGGAATCTCAACACATCTAATTTTCTTCGCTAGATAAACATAATAATTTCGTTTTAATCTGTAGTCTGCTACTGCTCAATAAAAACAAGGAAGCCAAAAAAAGGTTAGACATACGTTCACTACGAGACTATGAAACAAACGTTGCCTAAACATGATTTAAAACAGTGTCCAGCTTTATTTTGTAGTTAGACCCATTACCTTTTATTTTCCTTACGGATTAGAAAAGGTGTGGTACAAATGAACAGTTTTTTTTTATTATTAAGGCGTTTTTGTGCATCTTCTATATTATATCTATTTTTAGAATCCCTAATTTTTCAATAACATCACCCAAGCACATTTTTATTACTTTTACCACTAATTTGGAAATGATGTTTCAAAGTTTCATCAACAATCAAATCAAATCGCACATTAATCGCACGATCGTCACGTGTTTCATTTCGACTCATTCATTGGTTGGATGGCTAAATGCAACCTTCTTTTACAACTCTGTGAAGCAACAACATACGTACTTGTATTACAACTTTTGTGCTTAACAACTCTTATAATATTACCTCAAGCTTATAGTACGTCATGGAAAAGTCAGACAAATTATAAAAAGTATGTTGCTAAGAATAAAGAATATAAATTTTAAAGGCCAGAGAAGAAAGGAGCGTCGAAGAAGGAATGCGAGGATATTTCGTGATGACAGGATAGCTATAAATTGGAAATGCCATCACTTAAAAATATATTATGTTTATTCAAAGAAATGCGTTATGGTTCTTAAATAATAGTTCGTTAAATAAATACAAAATAGGTAATATTAAGGAGTAGGTTGCAGATCCCAGCCGGTAGAGTGAGAATGTGAATAATGTGAGTGAAATGAAGAAACAGTATAAAGAAGCATAAGAACAAGAAGTTGTCCAAAAGAGTAAATATTAGCTTAATCATATCCTGCAAATATGTAGAGAGCAATTGTTAAAAAAGTCGACAGAATCATGTAGGGCAAAGAAATGTCTAGTCACTATTACGTATCCCTATTGTAGCATATGCATATATTTAGTAAGGAGAAGCATCATGACTAAAGAAATACAATCACCGGGTGCGAAACAAGTTTGATTATGACTGGTCTCTAGGTCATGATAATTTTAGAGTTAGGAGGTTATAAGCCCTAATTTTCTTTACATTGATAACTAACATCGTGCAAGTAATTACGTGCCAACATTAGTCAGTAACTATGCTAAACAAAATCGGAGGCGTTTGCGTGGGCCAGGATATGTTTATCTTGACCGAGAGCCAAGTATCCTCTGTAAAACCAAGACCTTGACTTTAGCTGCACTCGTATGGTTATAGGGATCTAAAGCTTGTGATATCATCAGCTTTCATACAACCAACCTAGTTAATATAAGGTATATCACATTCACTTCAGCAACTTTGTAAATATTGCGTCTTTGTGATTTAACTGATACACCTTTGGATGAAGACTTATGGACATGATCTAAAATACTTTAACGTTTACTCGTATAAATCAAATTTCAAACGCACAATTTCTTTATAAGCTGCCTAAATCTAAAGGTAAATAGTAAGTCCAAAGGTTAATAGATAGTTAATAGTCCAATAGTTTCAGAGAACCACCAGGTGTGTTGTAAGTATGGAGAGCGCAGGACTGGTTTTCATGCAGACAACGAGACTCAAGACGGCTACACCACATAATTAAAGAAGGCAAAGAGACATAGTTCCGTACATTTGCGTGTGTTCGAGTGAGCACTGGCGCCTATCGCGTACTTATAGAAAGGTTTCTATTGGCTGCGATAGGCTGCCAGTGCTCACACTCATAAGCGCACTGCATGAAGCTTGGCCCATCTTAATGGCTTCTTTACTCATGTGACTACTACACTCGGCTCGGCGGCGGGCGGCGGGCGTCTTGTCTTGACCCGTATTTCTGCGTTGCAAAATGATGTATTTTATATTATACTACTTAATATTTTCTACGTAAAGGTGGCCGGTTACCACACAATGAAAAGGAATCGATGTTACGGAACGAATGTTACACTTGTTACACTAATAGTTTTTAATTAACATCGAACGTCACGTTAGCGTTAGAGGCGCGATGTTGTTCTAGTGGTTATTGAAGAATGAAAGGAAAATTTCAGTTAAATCAAGAATGCTATTGATAAAAATGTAAATATGTGGTTTTCTTTTTATAAAACGAGTTTGATATTACATTTGACATTACTAACTTGCGCAGCTTCACGATTTTATTCTATGCGATGTAATCAAAATGGAAAGGTATGGATTCTGTCTCATGGACGACGACATAGAATGCCGCGGAAATCTTAATATCGGTTATAAATATTATCGAATCTCAATGATGAGATGTGGCTGTTGATCATGTTTAAGATTTGGACTACTTATCAGCCTTACAAAGTTTTCTTTAGGTGCTGAGGCAAGTGGCGTTATATCTAACAATACAAAGAAATTTAATTGTCATAAGTTTTATGTAACACTAGTTTAGTGGGTGCTCGCGACTTCGTATGCGTGGAAATATTAGTTTCACATACAAACTTTGAACCCCCGTTTTACCACTTCAGCGGGTGAGTTTTGGAAAAACCCTTTTTTAGCGCACGCTTATAATCATAAAAGTTATAATGTGTGCCAAATTTCAGCAAAATTCGTTCAGTGGTTTGAGCTGTGCGCTGATAGACCAGTCAGTCAGTAACGGTTGCCTTTAATATATGGTACCAGCAATTTGTATAATCCGACATTCTATGTATTGACCTAAGCAATGTATGGAATGCCAAAAACGTCAAGGCAATGTATGAAATATATTTCATTTTGCACTTTGCCTAGGTGCCGAATGCGCAATTGGCAATGTATGTAAAAGAAGATAGTGAGTCGACTTTTCCTAGTTTTATTTATCTATTATCTATCAGGTGGCTGGCGCTTCGCCGGTCGCTGCCGCGGCAGGCTCGCTTTGCTCGCTCATTTAGCGCTAAGTTTAGGTCACAACACTAATTTTACCTAACGTAACGTAACGTACGTAGGTCAAACGTTCATTGGACTGTACTTTATTCGGATATAATTATAATCCGTCCATCATTTTATATCCAACTGACTAGGTTAGATTAGGATCAACACAAGCCAAATCTGTTTATTTTACACATTGCTGGTGGACCAGAAGGTGCTCTATACAAACTCTAGGAATTGTATACATTACCTAGGCAAAGCAAAAAATGGAAAATAATATTTGTAACATTTCATACATTGCTTAGCCGCCCCAGGCAATCTACACATTTCTTAAGTATTGTTATAGAATATCTGAATTATAAAGATTGCCGATGATATATGAATAAGATTAAAACTAATCTGTACAAGATTAGATTAGAGCCTATAAATGTTTAAACTTTAAAGTTAGCCATAACGTTCGTTAACGATATCGTTAAGCCAATTGTCTAATCACACCCTACTGTTCGTAAATAAGTTTTAACTATCAGCACAAGGAATGTTGGCAGCACGCAGATAGTTTAAAACCAGCGCGTGTAATAAAAGTTTTGAGTATAATGGACATGTGTTAATTTATTCTTGTAGGTATTAAAACGTAGTTGCGCTGATCTAAACACTGTAACGTAAGTATTAAAGCTTCTGAAGGTAACATAAAAGCTCCTATAGACTATTTTTTTTTTCAAATTAAACTCAACATCATCAGAAGTTTCTGAATATTTATAAAAAATTTCATTTCCATATATTGTTTTCTTAATTTCCATTGCTCTAAATTCTTATATCTTGAATACCAAGAAAGACCATAACAAGCATTTAACTTCAAAATTATCAAATCACTAATAGAAAGAGTAATTTGTTAGTAGAATACAGCCAAATCAAACTACTGAATGAGATTTAGTTCTCATGATAAACATTAAAACCTACCTACTTAATACATAAATAGCATTTCAGGACAAAATAGTTTTTGACTATAATTAAAATACAAGAGAAATGATAAACCATTTCACTTTTTTTTATACATTTTCTATGTATTTGACGTGACATTAACTATAGACAAATTTAACTATTGATGAAACAAAGCTGCTTTAATGATTTCCGATACAGCATTTTCCTTTGCCTACATGTTCTTTCGGTCGTGAGACAAGACACCGGCTACCGGTGCTTATCAAGGGCAAGACATCTGCCATCATTACACTAAGAGACTCGTGTTTACGTTATAAGCAATATTAACTTAGGCAACACAAGTTTAACTTATATTTACATAGTTAACAATTGCGTACTAATCCCCACCTAGCGGCTTGTCTTACGGAATATGGTGACTGACATAGCTTTAACTTAGTGCTCGATCACAACATCGAGCCGCCCGCTCGATGCTAACGCTGTCCTTTAAAAGATTAATAATAAAAAAAACATGAAGTTCCAATTGCTAATAGTGATAATCGGAATATACCATACGACCGCCGAGTATTACAAAACGAAACGTGAGTACCCACTTAACCTATAATTACTCAGTTATGATTACCTCGCGATGAACTTTCGATTATAAACATTTGCCGGCTTTTGCCATAAGAGTAGATAAATCGATTTTAAAATCGGGTTATCGATTGCATAAAATGTGTTACATCACAGGTTGCAATGAGATAAATCGTAGAGTTGAACGACCTTTTATCAGCGTTCGTTCGCCCGTAACGAGAGTGTTTTTTTTTTTGTTCGTATTTGTTTAGATTAAGCTTTAAGGTTCATAGCGTTTAAGGTCCATATTTCAAGATTCAATGTGTTTAATATAGGTCCTTTGACCTAGTTACTGACTCGTTTGTGGACTTGTTCTGCATCAAATGGTCAGTTAGGTTGAGGTATAAAGAATTATTTAACTCTGTAAGCTTTTAGTGTCCGGTCTGATGTTTTTATAGAAGAATATTTTCATTGCCTTCTTTTTCTGTATGCGAATAATAGACCATATTATTCGCATACAGAAAAAGAAGACAACTTTGTAATTTTATTTAAATTATGATCGAAACTATGTCCTTGAACTTTCTTTCATTGATTCATCAAAAGTATGTTAAGATTATTTATATATTCATAAACACATGTATGTATCGAATTTTGCAAATTGATGAATATATTTCTCAATTTATTTGATATTTAAAGAATTTATAATAACATAACCGCACTGGGCTATGCATGACAAAATCTCCCTTTTCCAAGCATATTGTGGGTGTATTGCTCTGTATTGCATTGCATTAAAGGGTGTAAATTGTGGTAAGATAATGTAATAATCGTAATTTAATAGTATGGCTTTCGACTATTTAGTTACTTAACCATAAAATAAAATAAATGCATATAAATAACTATAAGTAATTAGTAATCATAATATATGACGAGCTCGATGGCGCAGGTGGTTAGCGCTTTCGGCCTGCGATCGTGAAAGTTAAGCAACTTTCGTAATGATCGGTCATTGGATGGGTGACCAAAAACTTATTATCTCGAGCTGCATCTGCAGTCGTTAGCACCTGCCAATCTGCACTGGGCCTGCGTGGTGGGTCACGGTCCAGTCTCCTTATTCCATCCATAGGGAAGGCCTGTGCCCCTTCAATGGGGACATTAATAGGCTGATGATGATGAAGCACATTTGTGATTTTGCATTTTAGAAACAATAACTGTGCCAATAAAAACCTTTTTGACAAAAAATTAAACCGCCTAGAGAACTGAAAAGTTTAAATATTTTTTATTTAGTCAAATTTATTATTGACTTATATTTGGGGTCGGTACCATGCATGCCTGATAGATCTGAGTTCCCATTTACTACTTGGGTTAGCATGCAAACCGACGCCAAATACTTAGTAATTTGATTAAAGATAAAAAAGGTTTATTATTTACTCCTTTTCGTTTTTTATACGCAATAGAAAATTAAAATAAATTGATTATTATTGAGTAGGATAACTTAGGTAATGAAAATTCATAATTTTTCTGTTGACACAAAACGCAATTAAAATAACCCATTAACCTTCATAAAAAGATTTACAATAAGTTTCTTTATATTTATTACACTATGATTGTAGCAGAATAATTAAATAACTAATAACTTAAGCATAATAGAATTTCAAGAACAACATCTAGTTTCAGTTGTACTTGTATTGTTGCGTCGCCATACATTTTTACGTTAATCTTGAGCAAGTCGCATAACTTTTATGTTATTAAAAAAATCATAGCAACAAGAATCGGTGGTCTAGTAGTAGAAAGCTCGCCTGCCACCAGGAGGACTGGGAGTCTTCTCCGAAACGAACTTTCGATAACGAAGTTCAAAATTCCGTTCGTCCTAAAATAGTTTTACAATTAAGTTCTCCCAGCGTACCTACTCTAATTTACAACACTGAAACGAAACCTCAAATTGACTAAATGAAAAGTCTTACCTTTTCATTTTCGTTTTGGGATTTTTGTTTTAATTAAGCCTAAAATGACTGCTTTAGTATTTTTAATCAAGGCTGCTTAGCGTGAGGAATATATTTCAGCATGTAAAATTACCAATTAAACCATTTTTTTTTAATTATTGTATTTCCAATACTTCAAAGTATTAAACGACAAATTTAGGTTGGTTTACACTTATTCGATTCCCAGCTGAGAAAACGTTTTTTTTTACTTTTTTGTAAGCCAGAGTAACATCAACTAAGTACATGTTTAATGTACCTTAGGATCGTCCCATGGTTTCGACTATCATAGGTCCATTTCACACATTTTATCATCTAACATCATCGATATTCATCAGGCATCATCATATATATATATTATGTATTTCTGGAAACACACAATTTCAAAAATATCACACACTATTCATCATTTTGTAAATACGTATAATAATTCCATCTGTACTGAAAATCACTATTCCAGAGTGCTGGACACTTACCGGCATTTCTCTATATTCTGTTATTTATTTATTTCATTAATTTTGCTCCGATTTTATCTATTTTTAGTTTATTTATTTTATTGACATTTGTGACTCTTAATGTTTTTTATCCGTTGCCATGGCTACCCATGACACGGATACTCTCTCCAACTACGTCTATGACTATTGAACCTCCACAGACCACCTAATTTGATTCTTTTTGGCTCGATACGAACCGTGTCTAAATTTAAATGGTTCCGGACCTATAAAAGGCCGAGCCTCCCTGATCATTGATTCAATTCTACGGCAAAAGTTGCCTACTTAACTTTTGATAGCTCGCTACCGAGCTCTAAATTAATAAAAGGCCTTGTCCCGGGGCCGACTGCCCCGGGACTCAAGAAAGACTTCAAAGCTATACAGCACCTATTGGCTCTCTAAACAACTACTTAACTCTACTACTCTACTACTCTTCTCGTCATCTTCACGTACTCGCAACCTCATCGGTGGGACTGCCGCCTGGACTCCAGCTTCTTCGGCCAGCCTCCAACTGCTTCAGCCCGCCTTCTACCGACTCCTGCCGTTCCATCAACTCCTGCCACTGGCCGATATTCGCCGGCCAACCTACCAGCAGCGCCGCCAGCCACCACCAGGGCAGACCAAGACCTCCTAGGAGTGCCGACCGTCTGCTAGAAGCACGTCCTCCAGACCCTCTATTCTCAACGAAGAAGATCGCCGACAACCCACGCCAACTTCACCACTTCCTCTTTACACCCCACACTTAACACACACACCATACCTTTTTTTTTATTTTTAATCTGTAAATACTTTATCTTGTAAATATATATATCCTTTACTGTTCTTTTGATTTTTCCTTTTTTTTATTTAGTTTTATTTTGTCGCTACACGACAATAGGTATCCTGTATTATCTCTTTTATATCTTTTAATATTTGAGGTGATGTGAAACCCATCGTAAGTTTAATTTGCACCGTGGTTTTTATTACAATACTAGCAGGGTTCCTGCGGTTTCGTCTGCGTGTAAATATTGGTTTTCCAAACTAAACTCCCGATCCCGATTTTCACACCACTAGAAGCTTATTTTTGTGATAAAAACTACGCTCTACATTTTACATTATAACAACTGTTGCTCTATATATGTCTTTGCGGAAAAAATCATATTCCCATAAAACTTTCGGTACATAAATTTTAATTCATCATCATCAGCCTTTTAATGTCCCCGCTGCTGGGGCACAGGCCTTCACTGCGGATGGAATAGGAAGATTGGGCCGTGACCCACCACGCGGGACCGGTGCAGATTGGTAAATTTTAGTTACTAAAGAATATTTACAGCATTACATTGTGGAAATACTGGTGTCTCAAACATGTTTACTTTTATATGAATGCTTATGCATATATGTACCATCTACTGCTGTTTTTAATTGCTCTTTAATAGTGCTAGATGCTAGAAACGTTTTTATTGACTAACTTTATAAATTAGATCGCTCTGGTGCCTTCTGATCCAAAGTTTCATGAGTAATAACTAAATATTTGTTTCTGAGTCTTGGTTGTTTATATATTTGATTCCTAGTCAAAAGTCTGCTTAGCTTGGGACAAAATATTTAAAGTGAGTTATCGGAAATATTTTTTTTTAATTGATGGTTTGTCAACATATTAAAATATACTCTTTAAAAGTCTAAGTCTAAGCAACATGTTGTACGGTTTTGAACATTAGAACGATTTTTATTAATATTTTGACTATACTTTTATAAACACCACCAAAAAGGTACTACATATTTTTAAAATCCGTCAATTATAATGTAATTTGCTAAGAAAAAACAAACATCAATTAATTAAATATGTCCTTAAATAATACTTAGACTTTTTCGATGTGTGTTTATTGTAAGTTAAAATGGCGTGTGGCCAACATTATGATTTAAATAAAATACGTGATGATGCACTGCTGATGCTTGCGAGTAGAGTGTTTTTTTGTAAGTTTTATTTCAAAAAAAATCTAGAGATATGAAACTGAAACTGTAATATTGTTGATGCGCTCCCACGCAGGTAATGTGCGTCAGGCATATGCAAAACCCACGTAGACAATAATCCCACGTTGATGTGTAAGAGAATTGCATCACTGATGTAAAAGGTCCGTGGGAGCGCGAGCGCCAACTTTTTCTGGATGTGATCGGTGAAAAATCGCAGAGTATCGTGAAAAATTCAGAGATACTAATGGAGAAGATAATGACTGTCTTTTAGATAAAACATTATGGATTTCTATGTCTGAGGACATGACATTAGGTAATCGATATTTACATGTGTAGTAAAAGAAACCCCACCAAAAACATGTGCATATGAAGTGTTGCCAAGAAGACACCAGATGACTGTCAATATGTTATCAGATGTCATGTAGAGCCAAACTTATAATTCTACACGCCCTAACTCTTCAAGGCCTAACTGCACAAATTCTACACCTTGCTCAAAATATGTAGCCATTTCGCTACATTCACATATGCGTAAGGAAAAAAATTATTCACTGTTCATTACTTTTCTGTAATACAAGATATCATTCATTCATTTTCATGTAGTTCATGTAGTAACGATGATGTAGAGTATATTGTAATTAATTTGGAACTAATACTGCCAGACACTTTCTTCGGCAGTATTGCTTTGCCAAACACTTTAAACATCGAAAGCAAAAAACAACCTTAATTTTTGTGTAATAAAACTGATAGTAAGAGAGAGAATTAATTACTGTTTTTAAAAGCTTCTTTTAGACTATTCGCAAAATAAATTTAATGTTGCTGTATTTAAAAGGTACTTGCCTCTTTTTAGCAAACAAAAGTGATAGCATCAGTTATAGGCCAGGTTTAACTTTAGTCTACGTTTTGTAATAAGGCGGTTAAAGTGTCTGGCAACAAATATAGCTGCCAGAAAGTGTCTATGGTTTACAATATTCTCTACAATATAAGTAAGAATCAACCATGAGACTATAAGTAAAGAAATTTTTTTTTTACTTATCTGTACCACTTGATAACCGAGAATTGGCCCACAGCACAAGTTAGCGAGTATTATATACGTTCATTGTACACATGTTTCTTTTAAACTACTCGAATGTACATATTTTGTTAATTAGAAAATAAGTAGATGAGGTCTGGCGGCTCTGGGATCTTGGACTTCAAAAGCCTGCAGCATCAATTGATAGATTTGTGTTAGGCATAATGCAGGGCATCATAGCCAATCCCCTAGCTTTAATGTGTTAGACAATTAGATGGGATTGATATGAACAAAACGTTCCAAAAGTCCCTTATATTTTAAAAATGGCTGCAACAGCTTAATAACATTGTTATGCAGTATTGTCAGAGCGTAAGGCCGTTAAACGTGCGCGGGGTCAGGTTAGGCAATGCGCGGGTAAATAGTTCGGTGTCTTTAAAGCCATGGTGACCAATAATTCTCTGTTGGACCATTGTGTGTTGTTTTAAATACTCTTCTTAAAGACATTTAAAGTAATACTTGGCATTCAGCAATAATATTACTTTGCATGATAACTTTGATCGTTTTAGCACTCAAAATTGACAATGTTTTGTTTTTCTTGAATGTAAAGGAATTTTTAATTTGTGTTTGAAATTAACTCGATTTTTTTGAATAAAGAATATAATAATACCTATTGCAAATATGTCAAGAAATTATGCTCTCAATTCAGTTACACCTACAGAGTTTTTAAAACCGTAGAAGGTTTAGAAGAAATATTAGTCCTAAATCTCTCTCCTGACGGCAGGCACTAAGCCTTACAATCATAATGTTTTAGAAACAACAGCGTCATTTCAAGTTCTGAATAATTCAGAATATCTACATATATGGTGTGAACTCAACGGTCGCCGTTACACCTGAGTGCTTTAATATCATAATCAACAATAAATCGATTAATGTCCTCACTGCTGGGTACTCAAGAAATCTGGTAGATAGGATGAAGTCTGGTATGGGTTAAGACATACAAGTGGATGCCAAAGAATGCAATTCTTTCCTTGATCAAAATGGCTTAATTTAACCGATTCGTTGTTGGAACAATACATATTTTGATTTTGGTGATTTGCTAATACAAACTGGGTCCCAATTTCAACACAATTTCAAGAAATTATTAGAAAATGTCAAAGTACCCAAGAACAGAATTTATGTTCTCAAGATTGGGTAAGATTAAATGTAAAATCTTTATTGAATAGGTAGATAGCAAAGCCTATTATGAAATCGAGGTACTTAAGGCAACGGAAATTTTGGTAGATGAGTCAACTCGTTTCAATATCTTAGAGGCACTACTATAAATTAGTATACGAGCAGTAATATTACAAGAATAACTACTGTTGTTATTGTGTTAAACCCTCTTAAATAAATCTCGATGTAAAGCCAAATAATATAACTATTGTTCCAGTGCATAAGTTTCCTAAGCTCCACAGGTTAGGAAAATAAGAATAGATACCAAGAGATACCACCAGATTGTATGATGAGATTCTTCTACACCACATAAAAAAAAACATAGTGAATGTTATTTCATTTGCTAAAATTTCAAATTGAGTACGCGAAGCGAAGTATATCTTGGATGTTCTTTGAAAGTATTATTTAACGTGAATGAGAAATCAATGAAAACAATGTGAAGACGTACTTGCTCTTGTTGTTTTGAGTATCTTACAGCTGTTATCACAGAACACAGAAAGAGGTTAGAAGGGCCTTGTGGGCGGGGCAGGCGCGCCACAATTATGTGTGAGCTTCTTTGCTCTCGGGTGTGAGCGTTGATTCAAACGCGTCGCGTCGTTCCTTTGGCTATTATCTGTTAGGTGGATGTGTAACATCGGTAAATGACTTTGGTTTGCTGTACCATTGGGGAAAACAGTTGCCAAATTTACGTTTTCGCGATTATGGTAGCCGACCTGTTTAACCTCTTTCTGTGTTCTGTGTCTGTTACTCCGTAAGTTAGCTGTGCTTGATACTCTATGTATTGTATGTTTTCCTAAGTAGGTTATCACTCGTACAATATAGTTATTTTAATTTCAAATTGTAGTATTAAATTCGTTTAGGTTGTATTTCCAACATGCCCTGAAATAAAGACGCTTTTTATTTTTTATTATGCCATTTTTATTTTTTGTCATGCCATAATTGTATAAAAATTTGATACGCAAGATTTTCTCAGAAGCAATTTTGGAAGTAGGTATAATGACATAAATGATATATCAAACAAAACATGAAATAATTAAATTCCTAAAGGCATTTCCCAAATTGTATGTACTTAAATTATTCCTATTGCCCAGCAACCTCGTAGTTTACCTTTTATAACATCAAAAAAAATCCTTCAACTTGCTAGTATTTTTTAAAATATTATTTCTTTTACCTTCAGCGGACTTTGTGAAGACATGCACGAGAAGTGATCCAGAGTTCGAGGAATGTTCGCGAACGGCAGTTCAGCAATTATTCAGTGCTCTAGGTCCAGGTAATTAGTTCAGAATACAAAATATAGTGATTAATAAAAAGATTATTCACGTATTCTCTGCTTTTGTTTACTGTTGATTGATTTGACTATGATTATGTTCTTAATTTAAATATCTACAAGTTATTAGGAAACGAAAACCTTTGCCTTCATTGTTTATTATCATTGAAAATACAAGCTAGCGTTTGTTGACTGCTGACCCTACCCGTCGGTAGACCAGTCTACCTACTCAAACCGGCACGGTTGCAGAGCGCACGTTGCACAATCTGCCTGTTGCTCATGCAACTCGTAACCTCCTTGGTAACTCTGTAATCCTGGCACTATTCCCCATTTGTGTTGGAATTATCAACTTTTTTGTTTATTTAAAATAATTAAAAATTATTATTGGATATTAAATTCTACTTGTGCTTACGATTAGTTTGATAATCAGAGTCATATTGGGCCGGTAGGTTCACATCACAAGCAACTGAGCTAGTCACATAGCCTCAATTACGAAACATCTGTACATAACTTGCGGAAAGCGAAAGCGCTATTTCTTCACTATGCTAGCGAGATGGCTAATGTGGTTGGTATCTATGAATCTTATCATGGGCAGAGCACACAACATTCTTTCGTTTATTAACTTATAATAAACTTTACAGGGCGTCCAGAGATTGGTATGCAGCCATTGGATCCTCTGAAGATACCGAAAATTAGGATTTTGCAAGGCGAGGGCCCGGTGAACGTAAATGCGGCGTTGGATGACGTCACTGTGACCGGTTTCGGCAAGACAGAAGTGCTGGTCAGCCAGTAAGTATGATTACGCTTTACGTTTATAACAGCCTGGTACTATAGTCGACTGTTTGATCGATTGAGTTGAGCAAAACATCGTAAGTAGAGTAGATAAAATCAGGCAACTAGTCTACACGGTTCGCCATTATGTACTACGTTATTTGCATTTACATTTTATATACTGAATATTATGATAGAGTTATGGGATGTGTTTTATTTTATAGTTGCATGTATTTATGTTAAGGTCAGAATATACTATAGATGGCAAGGTACAGACGATTAAATGGAACTTTATTACCAACATCATTATAATGAATAATTAAATCAAAACCTATAATCGTTATTTTTCAGAGTTGATAGCAAAACCTATAATTTCTACACAAAAGTGAGAGTCCCAAAAATAAGAATAGAAGGCACTTATGATCTAAAGGGAAAAATTTTGTTGATACCTTTGGTTGGACACGGGACATGCTGGTTTGAACCTAGTAAGTTATCAAATTTCACATCATCCCTAGCTCCAATGTTTAACGACTTTTTTATATTTATTTCTAATTTATGTTACAGCTAATATGACAATCGACATATTCAGTGATGTGAAACTGTACGATAAAGATGGATTAATATTTTTCAATGTTACTGCTGCGCGTGTGAAATATGCCATCGGAGGATTGAAATTACGCATGAACAATCTATTTGATGGGATCAACTCATTAGGTACATTTGCTTTAAATATTGTAAGATATGATATATCATAACCGGACTAAAGACGAGAGGGAGTCATTTACTTATGAATTTAATCTCAATACCTACCTACTTAAGATGTTGGATTGATACAAAATATTTTGTCAGAACCTACATTTTTAGAGAATCCCTTATATATATATCCCTTATATATACCTTATATATAATGTTACTATTTCTTCTTGTAGGACAATAGACAGTGTTGACAACTCCCATTGTGTAAACTCCGTAACAGAATAGTATTAAAAAAATCAAGATATTTTTAAACATTAGCAGCCAAACGCCCTCTAGCTTCTCAGTCTGTAGTTGAGAATATTTAAATATGCTAGCGACACCTAGTGGCGAGTAGCGTTTCTAAGTACAACCGTTTCGTTTCGGCGGGCAACACCGTCTTACTATTTACTTACTTTGATTCATGCAGACCTGGTAGTCTCGTGGGGCAAATTGCAACGTTGGACCGTTGTGACATTGTGACTGTCCCATTGGGGCAAACAGTTGCCAAATTTACGTATTCGCGAATTTTTTTCTTATGAAAACTTTATGATATCCATCATTTTACATTTAATGAGAAAAGACAGTTTTGTATTTCATTGTCAAATAAGATTGTTGTTGGAATATTTAACTTTTTTTATATATTATTTAAACTCGTAGACAGTAATAAATTGTTTTAAAAATGTTGGTACCAATTTCTTTTTTGTTTTTCAGAGGACTCTACTAACAGTTATTTGAATGCGAATTGGCGGCCAGTCTCGGAATCACTACGACCCATTTTATCAAAAACCATTGAAGATATTTTACTTGGATTTTTGCAACAATTATTCCACAATCTACCGGGAAACTTCATGATAAGCGATGTTAAACATCATACTAGTAAAAAGGGGGACAAAACGTTATAAGTTGTAGTTATTTAAGTATATTGTTATTAAAATAGGGTAAGTTAAAACAACGAACTATTTAAAAAACAAAGATTTTCATAAAAAGTGATAACTATGATGAAAAAAATCAGTGATTATAGATTTTAAGGACCGAGTTTACAGAATTTAAAGTGTAACAGGCTGTTTTACCAAGTAAGGAATGTTAAAAGTAAAATTTGCAGTCTTTCGATTCCAAAATTTTCTTAATTCTTTTCACAACTTTTAAAAACAATTTTGGATTTCAATTTCATTAATATTTGACCGCCTCTTTAAAATTATTTTTTGTATAAATGGTAGTTAGAAGCCGAAAACAATTATCTATCGCTAATTTTTCGGTAATAAATCGATAATTATTAAAAAGATATTTTATCATTGTACATATTATGTTATTTCATATTATTAAGAATGTACATGACAAAATGGTATTTTTTTTGATTTACCTAATTAAATAAAATTGTATAAAGTATTTTAGGAACTAATTTTTCTCTACAGTTTTATAATTTATATTTCAATATAACCTAATAAAATATGTTTTTAAATTGTGTGTTTGTTTTAACCATGCGTCTGGTACATATTAAATGATAATAATAAATAATGAATTACGTTAATGTCGAACCATTAGGACTCTACCAACGAATTAGGATATGGAGTCAAAGGAAATAAATGACTGTGGTAAGTTATATATTTTTCAAGAGCAAAAAAGTCGTTTACATAGTTGCAGTAACGTTGCAGATAAATATGCCGCTTCAGCGATTCTCACCTTGCAAGTCTGCTTTAACTCTATCAATGCTGTGAAGCGTGGAGATTTGAAATTCTTACTCACTGATAGAAACACTACGCTACAAAATTGTGGTTTATTTCATTGATATCTTTTTGAGATAGAAGTTAATTATAACAATTTTATTTAAAGTATTTTCAAAACATTTTAAGCATTCAGAAAGTTTAACTAGAAAAAAATCCATTTGGAACCATCCCGTCTGGAACTTGGACCAAGTAGATATTTTCTAGTGAAATTTTCTTTACAGTTTAATTCCCCAGATCGATGAAGAAGAAGAAAGAAAATCTACTTAATTACTTACAGCTGTGACTAATTAAATAATTTCCAATAAGATAAAATTATCGTAGATCACATACTAAGTAACCATTCCAGAAATCAATAACAATCCTGAAATTAAGCTTATGGTAAGCTTCATTCTTATTGTCAAGGAAACCTTGCAATATCGGTAGTGAAGTAGTGACAAAAAGTTCCAATAGGATTACAATAATAAATTAACTCAATTTTTAGCTTGTTAGGAATTTTAATGATTTTTATTATTTATTACTACTTAAATGATGAATATTTTTTAAACGATAACAGTGACAAATCTTCAAAGTTTTGTAAAAATAAAATCCAGTACTTAAAGAGATCCAAGAGAAATCAATTCTCTAGTGGCCGCCCGCAACTTCGTCCTCGTTAAATTTAGTTTTTAAAGAATCCCTCAGAAAACTAACATTTTTTCGGAATAAAAAGTATCGTATGTCTCAAACCAAGTAAAAAACTATAAACCTACGCGCCAAATTTCATCCAAATCCATGCAGCCGTATTTGAGTGTTACACACATACAAATTTGCACATTTTAGTATTAGTAGCATTATTAGTCGATCTTTGATTAAGCCTAAGATCATATTGTAATACATTTAATGTAAAATGAGTTTTTTCTATTATTAAATATATTGGATCAATGCTAGATGAAGCATCATTCAGCCGTGTTTCTCTGCATATGATTATTCTTCGTTGTCCCTTGAGTGATAGTGCAGGTTTGAAGTTTTAATGTAGGTATATATAATGGTAAACTTTTATTCTTAACTCAACTTTATGATGAATCGAATAAATATTAGACGAGGTGTTATTCAGGTTTATGTCTATATCAAAATATTCTTATCATTAAGCTTCAACAGTAAATGACGGCGTTGTTGGTTCTAAGTTCTTGTAAAAAAACATAAAACGATAAAACTTTCGACTGACGATGCAAGATTCTTGATCATTTGCCAATTCTCTAACATTTATTTTACACGTCGTTGTTTACCTGCGTGTTATTTTCAGGTAGCCAAGGTCAAAAAAGTTTGTAAAGTAAGTATTATCATCATTCGTTAAAAAGATTGAAAACAAAAATTCAGAAAATATTATATCTGTTCAATACTGATTTACTTATTTGCTAAATAATTTTATTATTTTGGAATCTTCCATTACTCAGAAGAGTAATTCTTGTTGCACAGTCCTGTTCAAAATTTAATGAGCACAGATTGCTGATTCATTATTATTTTCAGCTTTTCCTAAAAGCATGTGTTCTTCAAGATAAGTGAGAAAACGTATACAGTATTTTAGAGAATATCAAAACTATTGTTCAATTTCTTCCAAAATAATAACAATTTGTAAAGAGGCTTATAAACTTTTCCATAATATTTATCAAATAATGCATAGCAATAACTTAAAAATGGACATATCCGTGTACTTACTTGCCAAATGGGACGACCAGGCATTTTGATTTAACTAAGATTTATCAAATAATACACTTCACAAATTCCGCACTTTACTAACCGCGCACGAGTTTCACGAGCTACTCACTAGATGGCTCTGTCACGAAAGGTGGGAACAAAATAACCGATACTCAGAAATATAACGTGTTTTATACGCTGGGAAACCGCTACAGCTGCATCAGTGCTAACGGACACGGCGCAGAAACTTGCGAACATGCGACCGAAATATCTCCTTACGAAGCCCCATCGAATATTGTTATTACCGCAGGAAATAATGGTAACATTTGATTACACCTCCTTCGCTTTTTATTAAAACGCGCGGGAAAACATTGATGTATACTCTTCCTTTGACGCAATAATCTAGCATATATTTAAATTCGTGATTCACAATGCGAAACATAGAATAGGTACTCACTTATTATATTTTTCATAAAAACCTATATTTCTTGCAAAACATGAAGGTTAGGGAAAAAGGAAAGAAAAGAAGGTTAGGGAAGAAAGAAAAAAAAGAATTACATTTTTTAAAAATAATGAATAAGCGTCTAGACTTCTATATAGTGTTAGGTATATGCACAAAAAAACATAGAATAATCCAATAGTGAGTTAGAAATGGCTAGTCTTAATTTATTATACAATCAGTAAATATCTTATTCCGCTTTTTGAAAATTTATTTTTGAAATTGAATTTCTGAAAATGTAGTAAGTGTTACGCAAAAATACTTTCTTTCATTAAAAAGGTACATTTTGAAAATTACGAAATATCCAGCCAATGAAAGAGCGCTATATTGCGCTTTATTCTTAGTGGTTATTTTTAGGAAAGTGCCAGATTCCCTTATAAATTGGAACGAGGTTGCGAAATCTGGAGCTGCTCGAGTTTCTTTTAAAGACAAATAAAAATTTCCGTATTTTTTTTATAAATCGTTATTCTTGAGCGGTTTTCTATTGTTATAATACAGTAAAGTAACAGCTGATATTTACATTTAAACATTGATATCACATAAACATATAAAATTGATGATACACGGCAAACAGAACAGTACTAATAAGATACGTGCATCATTGTGGTATTGGCTATCATATTTCAATAATTTCTTACACTTCTTCCAATTAGCCTAATCACATAGGCCTAGAAACTCACTACAAAAAGATGTCTTTATTGCGTCCCTGTCATATTAGTTTTTTCTCGCGCTCTTACTGTTCGACTGGTAGAGAATGCCTTATGGCATTATGTCCGCCATTTGCTTTGTAATTTTGCAATAAAGTTTAAATAAATAAATGTGTACATTTTCCAAACAGCCATGACTCGGATAAGAATGTTCGTATTCATTATAGAAATATTTATGCGAACCCAGGGTTTTTTTTTAGTTTATGGAGGCAAACTAGCTGGCAGTCTACCTGATGGTAAGTGTTCACTGTCGCCCGTGGATACTTGCAGCATCAATGGTAATAACACTCATGCGTTTTTGGCTCTGAAATTTCTTGAAAAAGGCTGGTAAACCTTTTCAGGTTTACCAGCCTTTTTCTTCGTTCTTTCAGAGTAGGCGATGCTTTGAAAACCGGTGTACGTACAACTTTACCACGCAGGTGTTCAATAGCAATGAGGTCAAAGTTTAATTCAAGGGAGATCTTAATTCAAGGTAAGGTTAAGATACCATTTAAGTAGCTTCCATCCTTTTATAGTTATGAAGTATCAGCAACATATGATGATACCACGTATCATGATATGATACATGGTGGTGCAAAAGTAATCATCCAATTTCGTTTTTGTATAACTTTTTTATTAATATAAAAATATATTTATGGATATCTTTATTAGGACCTTTAAAAATTTGTTATGAGAGGAAAATTGAGATGATATCCGTCTGATGATATTGACTCCTGCCACTGTTTTGTTTCCATGATTTCTTTAGAGCTGCGATTATCTGAGGCTTGTTGACATACGCGAGACTTCAAGTAGCCCCAAAGAAATAAGTCTGAGACAGTGAATTGGGCGATCTTACTGGCCATAACAAATCGCCAAATTATAATCGTGCTATGTGTGCGGTTGTACCTTCTTGTTGGAACCACATATATTAATGCTCCTGCGGAGTATCGTGCTCCAATGCCTGGCCGTTTTTATTCTGCATCTGTCTAGTTCACAAATGACAAATATGATTGCACGACCTTGCACCCCTACCCCACCATCACACATCTGCAATAATTATAACATCTTTCTTAAGGATGATTTATTTTGCTCCACTCTGTATATGTGGCACATCAAGACCATTTATTGCTTTGGTATTGAGGATACTACTTACTTAACACCTAATGTGACAATGTGAATGTGTGTGTTGAATATGAATCATTATTCTCGTCATTAAATCGTCATAAGATACGTAATATTATTTTATGCATGAATGCAACTGCATTTTTACTACCAGTTTTTTCTGCAATCCTTGTAGAACAAGTTCCTGGTAGAAACACAACAAAGATCATAATCATATAATGTTCTTGGTTAGTTCACATAAAAAAATCTTTATGAAATACAGTTTACAATTAATTCAACTCTTTCAAATCAAAACATAATGATAAATACCCAGGACAAATAGGTAAAGTAAAAGATAGATTATGAGATTTCGATTCTGCTATTTTAGCACCTGTATATTTTACAAAAGTAATTCATATTCATTTGTTTATTATAAAAAAATTCTTCTCAATTAATTAATATTATTTTTCATTCAAATTAATTTCAAAATATGATTGTTCGTAACCAACGCATACGTGCTGCACGCACAAAACAAAGCAGATGAAGGTTAGCGACGGTCATCGACCGTCAGATGAGCATTGACCCAGAGAAGGGTGCTCGAAGGGGATAGGGCCCCTTTGGTGTCGCTTACAAAAGGATTGAACACCAGGATAGCATAGAAGCAAAGAGGTTCAGCTGCATACATGCACTTTGCACCGAATGAGCGTGACGTCATTCTATACGCGAGTTGCATTGTTTGCAACGCATGCACTTTTTGTTTACGATTGTGATTGTTAATAAATGATACCGCATATCGTTTATCTAAAAGATAGAGATAGATAACATAAACTATTATGTTAGGATTCGCATGCACATAATTAAAGAACAATTTTAAAATAGCTTCTTTAGAATTCTTGTTTCTTTTACAAACAAACATGGCATTCAGCAATTCCGAAACAGTCATGATGCATGATAATTGGCTGCATTTACTATTGCCTGCCCACCTGATGTTTGACGTCTTACTAACCTTTCTGCTGTACGCCCTCTGATACATGAGCAGAAATAGAACCTCTTTGTACTCCAGAAAGTTCTTTTAGTCAATAAACTGAAATAGGTCGTACTTCGTGAGCGGTTCAAGGCAAAGCTTGGCAGCGAGAATAGCGCATGAGTAAACTTCTTAAAATAAAGTCGTCCTACACTTGCTTATGTGAAAACAGATCAGTTCGTCTGTTCGTCTGTCGTCACTCGAAAACCGTAAAATTATCTTTCTAATGCTTTCATAATCTGCTTTGTTTTCGGAAATTATTATTTATAAAAATTAGTGGTTGAATGAGAATGTTAAATAAATTTTATTTCGTATCTACTAAGAAAAACGGAAAAACGACATTTTTTTTGTTTTTTTAATAATTATTCTTAATAATTAGTAAATGTACTCATTTATTTCATTTGATATTATATTATATGCTGTAGGATGATTTGATAAATCTAGTTTTTTTTTCGAAAATCTTAGGGATTTTGCGAAAACGCGGATGGCAACAGACAATGGCGATGACATTTATCAATCTTACTAAAAAAAGATAGGACTTTTGCGAAAACGCGAGTCGCCTTAGTGAGATCACTAAAAGAATCGTAGGCTTATTAAAAATATTCTTGGGATTTCAGGTTCTTGGGTACACTAGATTAGGTTAACTTAGTTTTGTGCCTTTGACGCGCGAGTCGAGCAAGCGAAGCGAGCGTGACTCAGCAGCGGCCCGCGAAGCGCCAAAAAAATACGTTAACAGTAAGATTGAGCAATGTTTTTGCCTTTAAAGGTAAATAATATCCTAATATCACATTCCCAGGATTTTCGCGAAAATTCGATTTATCAAATATATATTATACTACGAAATATATAAAGAAATTTCAATGTATTTCAGTGAGTATTTGTATAATAATTAATAAAGTTTTATAATTATATTGTAGAATGTTACTAAAAATGTTCTTTGTTATTAAAAAGAAACTTAATAAAGTTGTGCAAAAAATTAAAAATAACGTAAGTTACAACTCCAAAGGATTTTTTTTTCTTTTTATTGTGCAAAACAGCGTCTGTCAGGTCCATTAACTACTGAAAGATAAAAACGAAATATTAACACAGACATTTATAATATAAAAAATATTCTTGAATTTGAAAAAACCATAAGTAGCATTTTTTAAATTGTGATTAATTAATGGGTTGTAGTAAAGCACTGCAATAAATTATTCAAATGTTGGCACATGTTTCCAATTATTTAATTTCTTCGAAATTACTACAATACCTCCTGAAAAGATACGTCTTCAAAATAATTAATAGGAATGTCTGCCGCCCTCAAGTCGCTCAAATGGAGACAGACCTATACGATCTATGTATGTATATCTGTGTATATCTGTCCTAACCAAGCTGTTTGTTACAGGGTTATTATCAAAACAATTATATTTAAATTGGATTAAATTTTCATTTGCAATTGTTGAAATAAGAGTGCGAACACGTGGTACAATACTCAAAATTGGCGCCATTTATTTTTTCAATGAAACGAGCGATAGAGCGTGCAATACAACATTACGAGTTATGTTTCTGGTTGCTTGCGTCCAGCAAGCAGAGTAGCTGGTGAGCGATTCGGGTACTAAACTCGGGTTATAACAATGTGGAACGTTTGGAACGTGGGCGTCCGCTAGTGGAGAATCTGGAGCAGGCAGTTACGATCGCCAAGTACTAGGACAGCATAAACTTTTGAAGATATTTTTACAGGCACGACATCTAGTGTCGAGGAGATGCACTTTGATGTAGCTGGAGTTGCTTATTTAGCTCTACAGCATTTGGTAGAGATGCTTTTCGTGGATATTCCACTAGTGGATAGATAGCGTTATTAGTTAAA